TTGTGACACTAAGACAACTGCAGAGTACATCATAATTTGTGTTGCTTTTATGAAGAGACATTGTAGTGGCCTAAACGTAACTAAAATAAGAACGGGCCACATCATGGTTGCGTTAAATCGGAGAGGTAGGTAGTTAGAGCAAAATTTTGTTTGTCAGTCTGTCACTGTGTATAGCTAACATTTATTTTAGTTCCCATATCCCTAATCTGTAACTGATGGAGGTAGACAACTGACTTCTTTGAATTAATATGAGTTCCCCATACCTCCAGTAACTCGCTTCATTCCCGGTCTTCAGACGCACCACTTCGGCTGATCTATCAGGAATAGAATTAATCTGCCAGAACATAGTATTTGGCCATATACTTCCCAGAAAGTCGACATCGTCTACTGGAACTAAGGTCACTGGCTGAAAATCCTCTTAGCTGTTTAACCATTTGTATCCAGAGTAAGTGGTACACAGATATTTTGGAGTAATATTTTCCAGAATCAAATGGACGTCTATGCCTTCTATTTCCTGCCATGAATGGTAGCTCAATGGGCTTGCGCTTTTTCAAATAACAGTCGTTTATAAATCGGCAGTAATTTATTCAATGCAAGCACATTCGGTCGTTCAATATCCTTGTTAAGTTGTTTAGAAACGTCTGTAACTATCAATTGTTTACCAGTGATCTCAGACTTCTCCCAGCAGATGTTTTAATGCATCCATACTCTACTTTGATGGCTCGGTTTAGGAGGGTTAAAACTCAATTTTCATAGCCCTTCAGTGAGATGGTAACTTAAAAATTTAGGTTGTCTAAATGGTTGGTTGACGTTTATTCAAGTTGGATAGAAATTGTGTGACCTCCAAGCTTATGTCTAAGTCACAGCTAGTGTTTAATACTTAACCTGCATCATGTTCCCATGATATCCATGTACTGTGACTACTTTGACACCTGTATATGAAAAACTTGAAATTACTGGATGTGTGTATTGATAAAACCAGAGAAATACAGAGTGAAACGGTCGAACCTGCATTTAATCGTCGCCCTATAGAGATATAAAGGACTTCAAGAGGGTTGCTGTGTTTATGTATCAAACAATGGTTGGCACAATCGGGGTGCGGCGTCCTGATTTAAACATAAATACACTTCACCATCCAGTATGGAATAGTATGAAGTGTAATCCCCACACACAAACTAAGAAGATAAATATGTAATGTTTTGATCCCGATAGTAGGTTATCGGCTAACTGTAAGCCATCTAAATTGGATTGCTATACAAACAAGGCAGCATGGCCCTGTCCATTTCATGCAACCGATTAATTCCCCCTATTCATTCTTGACCTCGACGATGTTCGATGAACTTTGTAGTCTTCAGTAATCCATCGTGCAAATTAGGGAAGGTTTGACCTGATTGTTCATTTAGCCAAAATTTAGCGACTGTCCACCAGCACCAAAGAATGATTCGTTTTAGTTTTTTGATCAGAACTTCTACCAACCTGTCCAATGATACTGTGAGAACCTCTGAATTCTGGATTGTTATCACTTCCTCTCCTCGTATTGCCTCCTAAGTGTGAGTAAAATGAATTATTATCCAAAATGTAAGCTGTTCCAATGTGGATCGCTCAGAAATAAATACGGGTGAATAATACCCATTATGCCTTCAACGATACTCCCTTTCCTTCTAGCATAGGATGGATCATTGTAACCCATACGGGCGAATGTAAAAGGTAGATTATTAGCTTCCGAACAAGGTAACGGTAGCACCACCATAACCCGAAGAACCGGTGAAGCGAATTTATCAAATAAGAAACATACATCCAACAGTCTTCTTACTGTTGATGGGCCTATAATTATCCAAAACTATCAACAAAACCACCGTCCTACTCGAATTTGTCCTCCATCACAAAAGGGTTGTGGTTCTTTTTTGAAGTATGTTCAGACCCCACACCTCAAAATCTCACAAGAAGGGTTGACAAATCCTCACTAGTGACTGTCTTTTGACTTCCACAACACACCTTTCCTCCAGTTTCTATGCACTGCCCTTATATTTCTCTTAGATTCTCCTAAAAGCCTTTTCCACAGAGAATAAAGTGACTTGCAATGGTCCAACGCAATAAAGGCTATTGACACTTAGTTCATGATTTTAGAATCTCAGTAAATCGTGGAAAACCCAATGAGAAAAACGCCTAGCTTTTATAAAAGAAAAAGGATTAGCTGTGTAGTTTGCTCAAGAAGATCGTTGAAGATTCTTTATCCCAGCCCCTCTATGCACCTCAAATCTACCATGTCGACGCATAAATGGCCCTCGATATTAAAACTTATGATATATACTAGAAGAACAACTCAAAGTCACTTACAACTTTGCCTGTGAGGTGTGTATCATAGATAGCTACAATTCATGGAAACCGTTCGGTGTTATCCTCACTGTATTGGACTATTTTAGGAATACTATGACATTACTTTCCAAACAACACAGAAATGGAATATCATGTGGGATTATGGTCTACTTTGTTATTAGTACCACTCTAATAATAGATCTAGTCCTACAATTGTAGATCTGTCATGATGTGACTTCCTAATCTATAAGATATTACGTGAAAGTCACATAATTATCTACACCAATTGATCGAATCATAACAATTACCAATATGTAGTGGAGAACACATTCAGGCTGGAGGTAGAACAATACATTTGATATGAGTAAACACAATTTATACATGATGCCTATGCCTGCAAGGGTGAGCCATGGCACCCGATGGACTAATTTGAATTCTTTCTTCCCGCCTTCTGCTTTGTTTAGGTTTTCCGCGCGTTAAGTGCTGAATATCTATTTTCCCAGTTGTCTCGTGTTCAGCTTTGAGGATTGTGTGGTTACGGTTCACTGCCACTACAATCTGTTAGCTGCAATACGTACGAAAACAACTTAGTCATTAAAGATGTCGACTAAGAATTTCTTCCAATATATCTTTGTTTCATCTACTGTAACGACCAATATATCAATATTCGGTTTAAACGCAGAACTAACGAACCAAAGTTTATTCCACTAAACCAGACCATTTTCTTCTGTATACCGTACGAAGCGCTTTCGAATGAGTCGTAATAAATTATAAAGGACACAAACTCTTTGTTCAAATTAAAACGGTTCTAACTTAATGAAGAGAATAAATTATATTAAAAATATAAAATGCCCCAAACAGTACAGTCCCTGTTATACAGCCAAAGGTTCCTCTAACACAAACTGACGAGCCAAACAACAAAAAGAATGGTCCATAAACAAGAGTCTGACACCTAAGAATCAATAAAAGTATGTCCAGCATGATGGGATCAGATATCTGTCTGCAAATATTCCTAAAACCTTTCCAAGCAGACAGTCAGAGGTTAACAGTAATGCGCTGAACCACGCCGTGACCATGAGTTTAGTCAAACACAAACTTATTGTCAATGGTCCGTCAACATGCAACAGTAAATTAAATAATGAGATAAATCTTTGACCAGAATCAAATAACAAAAGCGTTGACAATGAAAACTGAAGAACATAAAGTGTGTTTAACAAGAGACTTGAATAAAAGTTATGTTACAAGACAAGGAAAGGAGACAAGTAAATGGCGATGCTGCTGAACGAAATGCTCTGTGGGGATTTTCATTGTGTTTTTTCCGTTACACCCACAGCGCTGGCGCCCTATTCTGTTTCCAGGATCTAGTCATTAAATTATTCAGCGTTATTTTCCCCAGTCCTTGGTACGATCTACGCAGCAACTAAGTTGTTGTCCTGAAAACAAAGAAAAACAAGCGGTTTTAAGTCTTTATTGCCAAATATATTGACATATAAGTCGACTAAGTCATAACTGACCTTCAACAAAAGTTGTACTGAAATATAGGCGTTCGTGAAAATAAAAATTGGAGAAACTATGTACAAGTCACCCGAAATGACAGAAATAACAGTGGAAACTAACAGTTTTCATCCGAAATTTAGGCATTTATCAGAATTAACAGCATTCACAACAATTTGGAAAGTTCAGAGAGGTCGTAATTCTAACATCGTCCTCCATTTATTTTAATTGTCTAGACTCTAGAATAATGAGATAAAGCTAAATACATGACACACTTAAACTCAAATAGATCCAAGACGAAGCAGAAAATGAATATAAACGGTCCAACAATGTCACAGATGTTCAGGGTTTGACAATGCTCTTATCTGTAGCAGTTTTATGATTGAAGGTCCTCAATCAGAAGTCAGGAGTCGAGGAGTTCGATAGTGTTTCTATACAGTAGTCAGTATGTGAAGACGTGTGTGACCTAGTTGTTGAAGGTGGTGCTTAGCATGACGTACCCACTAGTGATCTTGCAAGAATGCAAGACCGAGCGCATTCAGCTACTATAAAACTTCATTAATGTTGAGGATGCCACAGGTATTATGGTTTGATAACGCTTCATCAGCAACAACTTCCATAGTTGAATCGTGCTTACCCAGTGAAATCAAAAGTCGGAAGCGAGGAGGTTAGAAGATATATTTAATAGATTATCGATAAATCGAGAAGTGGTTGATCTAAACTAACTAGTGATCGCAGGAGAAGTTGAGCACGGAGTTCCAACTTGTGATCAGGTGAGGATGCATGACCGAGCGTCGTCATCTAGGAGAGTCCATTAAAACTAGCGTGGTTAACATCCACTGCTGGACACTTACAGAGCTATTGATTTCGTTGATTTATTTACCGCTACAATGTCGAAGACATACAGAACTATTTTGTCTGAGGGTTTATTTACCGCCATAACTTATTGCAAATTAACTCCTGGATTCGCCTTGCAAACAGAACAAACTTTTGACAGCATAAAATTTGTGCTCTTATTTAATTGACTTATCCACCCAAAATGTATTCTAATGCAAATCTATTGTTGGGTCCCTCAGGGTCACAAAGGCTTGATGAAAATATCTACTGCTAGCTAAAACGAGAGTTAATTGGTTCATGTTGATTTATCATAACAGTAATCAAATTCGACCCAACAAACTAAGTTGTGCGCCAGTTACAATGTTTGCGTTGCGTGGGCATTTGCGTTACTACTTTGGTAATCGTTACTGTGTGCATAATCGAAAATGCTCGCAAAAGTAAGTAGACATACCTTTCCATAATCTATAGAGCGAAAACTGGCATAATGTTGCTAAACATGGGTGGCCCGGAAACTACAAAGGAAGTACAAAATTTTTTAACACGTCTATTCTCTGACAACGAAATTATCCGTATGCCGTTCCAAGAGTATTTGAGAATATTTTGTTACAATCTAGTATTTTAGCTCGTTTCGTAGCATGGAGAAGGTCACCTAAGATCGAGAAACAGTATTCTCATATTGGTGGTGGGTCACCAATTCTATATTGGACCAAAGTACAGGGTGAAATGATAATAAAACACTTAGATGCTATTAGTCCAGAAACAGGTAGAGCAAAGTTTTCAACTTTTCGCATTTCTTCATTTAGCTCCTCATAGATTCTACGTTGCATTTCGTTATGTCCATCCTCTTGTAGAATCTTGCGTTAATGAAATAGAAAGGTGTTTTTATTTGACTTATTTTACTTCACTGTAGAGACGGCGTAGAGCGTGTTGTTGCTTTTAGTCAGTATCCACAGTACAGCTGTACTACTTCGGGAAGCAGCTTAAATACCGTTGTTCGTCATTACGAAAGTGAAGAAAAAATTTTCAATGGAGTGGAAAGTATTGAGCTTCCTTCCGTACAGAACAATAGACCTGGACCGATCTGGTCCTTTATTGACAGATGGCCTGTTTTCCCCCCGCTAATTAAGAGTTTTGCCAGTAAAATTCGTGATGAGCTCAAGAGTATTGAGGATGAAACAGAGCGTGCGAACACCGTCCTAATTTTCAGTGCACACTCGATTCCATTATCTGTCGTCAATCGCGGTGATCCTTATCCTCAGGTGGGTTTAATACATTTATGATGTGTAGAGGCTTAGCACTGTTTAATCACTGAAAAGTAAAAGACTCCGCCACTTTGACTTTGTAGCATACTTCGTTTCAAACTTATTAAAACAAGCCCACATAACTTAAGATATTTTGCTTACAGTATGAAGATTTGCATTAGTAATCTGACCTATCACTGTTCAGTCCCTTTTTAACCTACGGTTCATATCATAAAATTACTACGCTGTAGGCAACACCAGGCAACTATTCAGACTAATAAAAGAAACTGGAATTAAGAAGTCAAGTGTAAGTGAGACGATCTCGGAAAAAGATGGAACCCTTATCTGCTCTCTACCCAAACGTTTAGAACGATGGGCGGAACACTTTAAGGAGCAGTTTAGCTGGCCTTCAGCTACTGCACAACTACCCACTATTCCTAGAAAACCTGAATGGAACATTGAAGTAGGCCCCCCGACCCTACTTGAAGTTCAAAAGGCTATAGGTAATCTGAAACGAGGAAGAGCAGCTGGTCCTGATGGATTGGCTCCAGAGGTCTTTAAATATGGTGGTCCAATTTTAGCGATTAGGTTGACTAATATTCTGGCTAAAATCTGGGAGACGGATGTAATCCCATCCGACTGGTCACAATCACTGATTGTCCCAATATATAAAAAGGGGTCAAAATCATCCTGCGATAACCATAGAGGGATTAGTCTGACTAACATAGTATCTAAAATACTAGCCTCAATAATTATCAGGCGCCTAACTAAAACTCGTGAACTGCAAACACGAGAAAATCAGGCTGGCTTCAGACCTGGTCGTGGCTGTATCGACCACATATTCACCATTCGTCAAGTTTTAGAGCACAGACATGCTTATCGGCGTCCGACAATGATAGTTTTTCTTGACTTGAAAGCAGCATTTGACTCTGTAGACCGAGAGGTTCTGTGGCAGTGTCTGTCATTGAAAGGTGTACCTGAGAAGTACATAAACCTTGTGAAGGCTCTTTACTCGAACACTATCAGTCGAGTGAGAGCTTATGGCGAACTGTCATATGATTTTACAACCTCAAGTGGTGTCCGTCAAGGCTGTCCACTATCCCCCTTTTTGTTTAACTTCATTATAGACCTGTTGCTGCAAATGACACTCTCGTCGACTGAGTTTACAGGAATTGATCTCCTACCAGGGGGACCACTAAGCGACTTAGAATACGCAGATGACATAGTCCTGTTTGGTGAAGACGCTGACAAAATGCAGAGTCTTCTGTTGGAACTGAGTAATAATGCCAGGATGTTTGGGATGCGTTTCTCCCCATCCAAATGTAAATTGTTACTCCAGGACTGGCCTGCGTCAACACTCGAACTAAGGATAGGGAGTGAAGTAGTCGAACGCGTTGACAACTTCACTTATCTTGGAAGTCTGATCAGCCCTAATGGGTTGGTGTCTGACGAAATCTCAGCACGGATTCAAAAAGCTCGTTTGGCTTTTGCCAACTTACGTCACCTATGGCGAAGACGAGATATCCGTCTATCAATTAAGGGACGAGTATACTGCGCAGCAGTTCGTTCTGTTCTACTTTACGGCTGCGAAACATGGCCATTAAGAGTAGAAGATACTCGTAGGTTACTAGTATTTGACCACAGATGCCTTAGAAATATTGTTCGCATCTGCTGGGATCACCGAGTAAGTAATAGTGAGGTTAGACGCAGGGTATTAGGTAACGATGGTAAATCAGTTGATGAGGTGATAAATCTTCATCGACTGAGATGGTTGGGCCATGTGTTACGTATGCCTGAACACCGATTACCACGACGCGCTATGATGACTAGTATTGGGGACGGTTGGAAGAGAGTTAGGGGCGGCCAAACCAAAACATGGCATCAGTGTTTGAAGTCACTAACTTCTAGCCTGAGCCATGTTGGCAGATGCAGACTACCTGGTTGGGGTCCGCGTGCCTATCGTAATAAATGGTTGGAGACTCTAGGTGACATGGCTCAGAATCGATCACAATGGCGTAGGTGTATACACTCTTTATCTTCCCTTAAACCTTGAGATTAAAATTGCTTCATAACTTTTTTTTCTTCCTATACTATATCCTTCTATACAATCTTTCTTTATATACTACCACCACTAAATTAATTGCTTCTATGAATCCGGTGTTCATCTTGATGTGCTAAAGAGGTATGGCAACTTGGACCGATGCATATATGTGCCTGGTCCTACGTTGTAGCTGACTGACTGAGATTAAATTATCATGAAGCGTTAACTGTTATATGCGTTAGAACATCCGGTTATGTTGATTTACACAGACACGCTAAAAATCTTCCCATTTTCAAACACCAAGGGGAACTCCTAGTCAATCTGAAGTCTTGGTACTTTCTTAACCTCTATAATTTTCATCTACTTGGAACTTCAACCCTTGTCGAATTTATTAACTGTGTACAGTCAACGAACGATTAAAATCCGAAACCGCTTTTTACGTCCTCATGTTTAACTTAACCATGACACTAGGCTAAAGGTCTTGATATACCTAACAACCACGTAGCATATATTGTTTATTGAGAAACTAGAACATATTAATGTATTTCTAACAAGTAATCGGGTTTTGTTAGCTTGGTCACAACTCACAAAGTGTCTTAAAGCCGTACTTAATGAGTGAGTTATAATAAATTAATCGCTGTTTATCTGTTTAGTCTAACCATTTTTATGACTAACATAGCTCTTTAGATTTATGTCATTAAGTCGGTAAAGCTTATGAGCTTTCGAAAGTAGAAAAGTTTATTTGGAAATGACATCCCTTTGAGTCTAGTTTTTTTGTTCAGTTAAGTGAGATTTTAAGAGTCAAAGTTTGCCTATATCTATTTAAAGTGATTGATTTCCGAATATTACGTGTTTTTGGATTTCGTTTGCTAACTTCTTCCAGGAAGTAGGTGCCACTGTTCACGCAATCATGAAACAACTCAATTTCTCATGGCCTTATCGTCTTACATGGCAATCTAAAGTTGGTCCAGCTGCTTGGTTAGGTCCATCAACAGAAGACACTCTATATGGGTTGAGTCGTTTGGGATATCGACATGCACTCTTAATTCCTGTCGCATTCACTCTAGATCATATAGAAACCCTTTATGAAATGGACATAGAATATTGCTCTGAAGTAGCGGCCAAAGCCGGTATGGTTTCTGTACGCAGATCACAATCACTGAATGGTGACCCTGCATTCGGTCAAGTAAGTGGTATTATTTAGTGTTCGAATAATAGATTGACAACTGTCGTTTTCCCAGTTTCTTCTTGTAAAGGCTAAAGTGAATGAGGAGGTACTCTTAAAGTCCAATTTAATGTAAAATCTTCATAAGCTTCGATAGCCATTCATAACTGGGTGGATTGTATAATTTCCATGAATTATTTGTTTGAGTCGCTACATAATAACTAACGTATGTAATAATCATTGTCATCCATCTCCAGTAACAGTTAATTACGGCATTCAGAATGCTTCGTATTTTTGCAATAACATAAGTTCTTACCTCACCTTAATAGTTTAAACCTAGCAGAAAGAACAGGGAGATTATCCAGATGTTGGTTAATACAAATCATTTCATCTTCCTATGGAGAGAAATACAGTATAATTAACATCTAGTGAAAAAAGGTAGATCGCACTCATATATTCATCTAAACCAAATTAAACCAACTTCATCCGTTATATCTCGACAACTGAAAGTGTATACGTGGGTGTTAAGAATGTAACAAATGATGTGAAGCTTTTTGTGAGAAGGCTCTGGGTTATTATATGGAATTATGGTGGTATCACTGAAATATCTTGCTTTGAACAATTTTACGAGCTACTGTAAAGGTTGTCTCTGTATAAGCTTTGTTTCACAGCTTCAGTGAGAACAGCGGTGTTTACTAGATTGCAAATATTTAGCTATCAATTCGAAAATCGGGAATGTATCTTATATTTCACTTTTCCTCACAGAAAAGTAATGAGGTGATAATTTTTTTTCTTTAGGATAAAGAAGGCAAAAAAACATTGTTTTTCTCTACGATATTCACATTCTGAAACTCAGTTTACTTCCGGATTCAAAATTTGAAATGGGATTGTGTTATTGAGTTTTCATCTACTTTTGTCTTTGGATCTTGTTTCATTTTTAATGTGTTCATATAACTAAATATTAATCATTCTGTCACCATAGTCATGTGTTTGTAGGAATTAAACATTGATTTTACCTAATTTTTGTCACTTCAGGGCCTAGCTGAATTAGTCCTAGATCACCTTCGTCGGGGTGATCCATGCTCGAAACAGTTCATGCTTCGCTGTCCAATGTGTACTAACCCATCTTGTGAACGTACCAGGAAGTTCATTATGGCCCAAAAAGAACGAGTACGTGACTGGACAACTCTGCACTTGTCAAACAGTGAGTGTGTACGTTGATGCAGATATAACTAAAGACTGAAACCATTTTTTGTTTATAAATATAAATTTTCTGTTTCAAATCTCGTTTTTGATTCTTAGCTACTAATTTCAGTAATTAGGATCCTAGTATATATTTGCTTTATTTTATTTATTTATTTATTTAAACACATAAATATTGGTACAAGGAAGCACCAGATATATATGCGCCTCACAAATCTCATTCGATTTGTGTGAGGGCTGTGATACTGCCCAGGTGCCCAGACTGAAGCAGGTGGTTTTCTTAGGGGGCCACACCCCGAGCCTTTGACCTGTAGGTCTAGTCCACAAGGCAGTGGAGCATCGTGAGGCGATGCAATCCCATGGTAGCCGGTGATCAATGATTGATTCGTACGCCATTTGTTCCTTCAGGATACTGGAGCCCATGTGCCCCATTGGTTTGGAATCAGGGTTTTCCAACTCCCCTAGGTGAAATTTCCGTGTCAACCAACCCGGTTAGAGCGCCGGACATTCGCTTTTCGTCCTCTCACTTTCGTAAACAACAGTAATGCCACGAGAAGGCAGTGAGTAGGACTTCCCTGGTAGAGGCTATATGTTCGCTGGTCGTGTGAGAGCATTTGGAGAGGGAGAGCGGACTCTCCCCACTCTCGGCCGTACCAGGGCATTTGGGGGCAGCGACATTCCATTTATGGCCCAGTGGTCTATCGGTTAAGTGCTCCAGCGCGAAGCTGATAGGTCCTGGGTTCAAATCTCGTGAGTGCGGGATCGTGGATGCTCACTGCTGAGGAGTCCCACAATATTTACTTTACATGAACTATGTTCTTCATATGACTCACATTTCAAAGATAAAACAATATAGATAAAATTTCTCACTCCACAGTCTAATTCTTCACTACAAAACCAACCATTTTTCGTTTGTATTCTTGTGGCCTAATGAAATGGTGTTTTTCATCGATCCCGTGATCTGTACAGTTTCACTCAACGGTGTTTTAGACAATTAGGAATATAAGGTCTTTTTTAACCCAAAAATATATTTCTTGATAGCTAAATTATTTTGATTTTGGACTACATTTCATCCCGCGCACTTTTCTATGGGGTTCCGTGCCATGCAAATCGCTTTCACAATATACAAAAATGTAATTAGCTGTTAAATCTCGCTCACTGTGCGTGGTATCTTGGAGTGCTTATTGTATCAAGTTTTACTTATCCAGAAAAGTAGGAGTCTCATAGGTCGGTGTATGTTGAAATCCTCTTTCCAAGTTAAGTTATGCAGGCATTGTTTTTTGAGAAAAAAGCGTTGGTAGAATAGTGACTAAGAATCGCTTACCACGCGTTTCATGTATACTGAGTACGCGATAGTGTAGTTATGTGTTCTAAGTAGAGAAATTAAATGACACAGTGTATTGGTTCAGATCACCATCATTAAAAACAATAGGGCATGTTAACCATTCCATATACTACAATATGTAATGTGTGTAATTTTCTCAATGTCGTCGATAACCAGGTAGTTATAAAGTACTGGCATCTCCCGATTTACATTTGATAAGTGTCAGGAAACTATAAGTATTCTGGTACTGGTACTTTGTCAGTTCCACGTACTTATTGGGATCACCAATTAGAATTAGACTTGAGATAAACTAGCTGGTTGCGTCGTGAAATTGTTACTGGCATGAATCGTGTTAGATGTTTTGAGTATTCCAAAATCGTTGCGTTAAAATACCAGGAATTGTTAACTAGACATTTTTTTCATGAAGCACTTAAGGTTAACTACGCTAACGGGAATCAATTTTAACCAAGCGTTGACAATTCAATATCGATCAATTCACATTTACAATGTAGTTGAGGAATACATCCTCACAAATCCTCCCTAAAAATCCCTGAGCTTGAGTAGACTCAATGTTAATATCCGATTAATGCGACGCTTTTGTACGAGATATGAAATAAAAGTTTGCACAAATAGAATTTCATTCATATCCAAATCATTCGCAGACCAACTGTCTTTGTGGATCATATAGAACTTTGGTCGTGATCTTCATATTTAGGAGTGCGGTTATGATTAAACACGAAAACACTGACGGTGTCTATATAAATAATTATTTACTGCAGAATTTCATATTCTAGTTAAAATTGATAGCGATCATACAAAGTCAACACAATTGTCAAAACGGTGAGTTTTTAAGAATAGGTTCTTTTTCATATGGTTTTGATTGAAAGTTCACGAAGCAATGACTTATTTGTGGGTGTACAGTGTTGAGAAGCCTCAACCATAGACTATTTCTTGTATTTTGATGGTTCTATCAGTCATAATCAGCGTAGAGCCCGGTACAAATGTGCATTAACCGAAGTTGCTATACCATTATTAGCACAATGAAAGGAAGTTGACAAAATAGATGGCAAAGAACTCAAAATAATGTAATAACAATGATAATGAAAAAGACTAAGCTTTAAGAATATAGTCCAAACAGACAATGAGAAGGTATGTATGAATGAGTGGTAGAACCAGAGATCTAGAGTAAGAATAAATTAAGTGTATCTGAGACATTGTAAATTATTTTAAGTCATGGCTTCCATCCTCGCACTTATTGTATGAAGCTCAACCAAATGGTCTTTACCTGTCAACATAAATCAGATCAACAGTCCATGGCCGCTTCTAGCTTTCTCCCGACTCATATATATATATACTTTTTTTTCTCCGATCAAACTATAGCCCACAAATATTTGAGGATCAGTTATAGTTTTGTGAAGACTTTTATTGAGTAAAAAAAGGAGAAGTAATTGTTACGTCTGGCCTATCGAACGCTATATTCGCTTCCCTAAGCTAGTTTCGTAACCCCCGAGCTAGAACTACTCAGCGCGACTGGAAGATCAGAGAAAAGGCACAAAGTGTGAGGGAAGCACTTTACTACAGGGTTCAATCTTGTTACAGAAAATCATAGGTATTTATAGATGTTAGCCAATCCATTAACGCATATTATGGTGCCGACCAATAGTATCACGCCACGTTGGAACTCTAGAATGTTCCATCGTATTTTGATTGGCTGGGGCTCTTTATGAGTCTTTGGAGGCTCTGTTAGAGTTCTCCGGAAGCCGACTCAATAGTAATGTTCTTTGAAACATCTTCCTGATGGTAGAAATTTCAAAAATAAATCTTATAAAATATATTACTTTATTCTAGTTGAGTAAACAAATAATCCAACTGAGGCTGGAAGGTCATATAACTGATCCTGCATGATACTATTGAATCCAGTAGAAAAATCTGCACATACATTCAGTTTACTATTAGGTTTTAGCGATTTTACAGTTTGACAACTAAAATATGCAATTTACTCAGAACAATCACATTCTCCATAGAAGACTTCAATTGTAGAACATGGCGCATGTTGGTTCGAAAGAAAAAACAGGTTAAAAATTGTGATGAACATCTATCTACGTTAGAACTATCTTGAAAATTTTTAGAACAGTTATTTTTAAATCGTGTGAAATGGATAGTAAGCTTTTCATGTATATACTAGGAAAAGTCATTCAGATCTCACTATATTACGATTAAATCAGTTATGCTATAACCTATATTATTTATTTATGTAAACACATAAAAATCAGTTCAAGGGGGCACCAGATATATATGCGCCGCGCAAATCTCATTTGATTTGTGTAAGGGCTGTGATACTGCCCAGGTACCCAAACTGAAGGAAATGGTTTTTTTAGGGGACTACACCCGGAGCCTTTGACCTAAAGGTCTGATCCACAAGGCAGTGGAGCATTGTAAGGAGATGCAGTCTCATGGTAGCCGATGACCAACGATTGATTCATACGCTATTTGTTCCCCCAGAATACTGGAGCCCATGTGCCCCATTGGTTTGGAATCAGGGTTTTCCAACTCCCCTAGGTGAAATTTCCGTGTCAACCAACCCGGTTAGAGCGCCGGATATTCACTTTTCGTCCTCTCAGTTTCGTAAACAACAGTAATGCCACGAGAAGGCAGTGAGTAGGACTTCCTTGGCAGAGGCTATATACGCGTGGCCATGTGAGAGCATTTGGAGAGGGAGAGCGGACTCTCCCCACTCTCGGCCGTACCGGGGCATTTGGGGTAAACACACTGCCTCCAGGATGAGGCAGTGGTGGCAAATCCAAGAACTGATGCTTATACATCCTATACATATTCAGTAGGTCAACATTGCAAACTTCTCGAAATACGATACAACTGATACAGATTTATTATTCAAATATACCACTTGAATTAATTTTAATATTGAACAGCACCTGTGCGTAAAGAATTTCTGACAGTGTATGAAGTAAAATACAACTTAGATGTAACAATAGTTGACTAAGTTATTGGAATAAATCAAAGTTATATCAAGTTGTATATCAATCTTTAACCTCCATAGAATTGTCTTAAGATAACCTGTAGCAAATTTTATTCTACTTGCAGTTAAAACGGAATAAAATTGTAATTGTAATCTTTGAAGTTCATGCAATACTTTAAACTTCTACAAGTTACCGTCTCGTGGGAATTTTTTCATTTAGCCAGCATAAATTGGTTAACTTTGATTATGTCTAACAGATTTTATGGTAAGTAGGACTTCAAAATTATTAAATCCCGTACAAAACACTCCAAACGTGTTATTTACGACTTTAATAAGATTTGAGATTACTGATGTGAAGAATTTATATTCATTTAATTCACCTATTTGTTAAGAAGAATTCGAATTTAAATGTACGTTGTCTTTCAGCACAAGCAGAATGGTATTTTAAACCGACCAACCTCGGTGTTTTTTCTACGCTATAATATGATTATCAGTTATGATAAATAACAATGCTGAATATATAATGAGATATATTAACATAAGCACTCATGGACTCGATGAAGGTAATTCAAACACCACATCAAACAATGTTTAACATATACTGACCCTACTCATGAGTTGTTCATATTTGTAGTAGTATTTCAAAGAAAATTACTCACCTTTTAGAAACAATAATGACGTTAGTTAGCGTGTAGAAATTCTAACTAGCTAATAAATAACATATATCAGTGTTTAAAATCTCATTTATGTCAGTAAACTCCTTGAATATTTAAATCTACTACTGGAAGTCTCGTTGCCGGAAATTGCTACTAATACAGTATATTTCTATAACATCAATACGCCTCACACTCACCTACACACAGTTTCTTCTCACACTGTTTGTATAACATTAACAAGAGTTTAGAAGATTTATTTACAAGCATTAGAAATATTGAGGAAGTCAGAAAGCAAAAATAATGAATATCCGTAAGCTTATATATATATATATATATGAAAGTTTTCTGCTGGTTTGTGATCACAATAAAGAAAGTTATTTGAATTTATAATAAAGACAGGAAGTGTGAAAGCGATACAGTATGAATGAATTAGAGGAGAGAAATAAAAATGCATTTTGTCCATTCTCTGTCAAGGTGGTCCTTTTTTTTGCTCCTCTCAACAACTTTCATTATTATAAACATAATATGTACATAAAATTAGTTATTGATTTATGATAAATTATTATCTTAAACTTTATTAACAGTTCTATTCTGGAAATGATGACTTAAACAATACCGATTGATCTCTTCCAAAAAGGAATGTATTCATGTGGATTCTATATGGATATATTTTCTTTTATTCTGTACAACATACAGAACATGTTAAACCACCACAACATAATGATAAGTCATCATTTACACATAAATACACATAAACATGCACATGTTGAAGTTATTTGATAAATTATAATTGACTAATTCTTTCACTTATCATAGCTTTCATTTCAATTAAGTTTTCAAGAGAAGGAATTTCGTTACATTCTACTCATGCATCAATTCTTCTTATTTTTCAAATTTATGATTAGTTTACAAATGCACATTATAGATATTCATAATAAAATAATAAGTAAAGAATTTATTTATGATTGAAGTCAAAGATTATGACTGTCTATCTGTTGAATGATATTGACGTTGATATTGTTGTTGTTGGTGATTATTATTATTATTATAATCATCGAAATGGTATTGATTATTATAATTTGTAAGAAATGATTCTTTATTATAAGTAGTATTATTAATACTAGGATTTATGAAATTACAATTTGTAATAATTTTATTATAATGAGGATAATTATTTACATTTATACATGATTTACATTTAGATAACATAATAGATGATAAATTGGATGTATTCAATGGATGATGAATTCCACGATATATTGATGGTTGTTCATCAAATTTCTGTAATATAATATTATTCATATTTGTACGATTTGGTGATAAATCGGATGAACTTGATGACCAATGATTTGGTGATTCACTTTCATCGGAACCCATTATATTTGAATTAGTTATAATATGATTAATATGTGTACTATTACTAATTTTATTATTAAAATTATAATCAACTTTCAATAATGAATCTTTGAGTAGTTCAACTTTAACATCATTACTATTCGTATTATTGTTTGTATTATTAGTAAATGAATCTAAATTATCCGGTTTATTGAATGTTTGATGAGTTTGAATAGAATTCAATATTGTGTTATTAGTATTATTATTGTCAATATTATTAGTATTAGTATTCAACAGAGCAAGAGATGGAGGTGTACGGTTAGTATTATTATTATCATTATTATTGTTAGTAGTAGTGACATCATTAGTAGTAATGAGTTTTGTAGTTAATTCACTCCCCGGTGAGTATTGTGATGCCGACAACAAGTCAAATGTATTGTTAAACATTGATGACGATGATGTAGCTACTGTTGTTGTCAACCCATATGTCTCGATAAATTTCGGTGATGTTGTCGCCGTAGTAACACCAATAGTACTAATAGTTGTCGTTGTTGTCATAATGCAATGAACACTTCGACTCTTTGGACACTTCTTCTCATTCATGTCTTTCACAGCTGATTTCATCATTGAATAATACTGGGATGCTGCATTCCCAGTTGACAGTTTATGGGTAATAGACTCCGTATCATAATAGGTCAATTGATGTTGATTGTTATTGTCATATAATTTTGGAGTTGGAAAATATGAACAATAGGATTGCTCCATTGATGTTATTCTTGGCAACGTAGAGTTTGTATTTGTGTCTGTTGTTTCTGTTGTCAATGTTTTTGAAGTGAATAAATCATGCTTTCTAGTTAATTTGTTTAGATTTCCACTTGTACAATATTCAGTATTTGAATTGACAGTATATTCATCTAATAAATTAACAATCTCATAATGTCCACCTAAATAAGCTAAATCTCTGGGTGTACGATCTAAATAATCAGCTAAATTTAAATTAGCTCCACTTAACAATAATAAACGACAACTTTTCACAGCACCTTCTCTACATGCCAAAGCTAATGGAGTTTCTTCATGTAATGTTTGCGCATCTACAGTTGCACCAGAATTACATAAACTATGAATGATATCCGATTGATCTGTTACAGCTGCCCAGTGTAATGCTGTACGTCCTAAACTATCTGAAGTATTAATGTCAAGAAAATTTAGAGTACTCTCTTCGTAGTTGAATTCTACACCACCGTTAACTGTTGGTGTAGTGGTCGTTGTTGGTGGGGATAATGATGCTACTGCTCCAGTTGATAATGATGATGATGTAGATTGAATATGAAGTAAATCAGTTGATGTTCCAATCATATCATAACTTGTATACTCTTGACTACGTGATATATTAGTCTTTGTCAATGCACAAACTAATACATTCATCGCATGTAATAGCATATTGAATATGTCTGTGTAATAGACAAATGAAAACAAGGTTTAACAAAAGGACACAACTTAATATCGTATATTTTATGAATTATTTACATATATATATACAAACATATTCTTTAAAAAGTCCCGGCTGAAGTCTCCATCATTCAGTAACAATGAATTACTTTTTCTTAAAGTGTAATCGAGCTACAATTAAATAGCACATATGAATAAAGTTCAGTGGTCAAGTTATGAAAGTAGATTTATCTATCACAGAGTATAATAATTATCACTAGGCTAACAATTGCACAAGTCTGTGTATGGTATTGAATGTTACTTTTGTGAAAGTAAGATGTGGAGATGACGTCTTGACAAGTGAGTTTTTCAGTCAGTTTTCCATCAACTAAAGAACTAATGAAGACCAGGAAAACAAGTGAAAATTGTTCTGTTTTAGTTTCGAACCGTTGAACAATGCGCGATCGTGAATATACGCATAGAATCGCATTCAAAAACATTACATTTTGGAGTGCACTGATTAAGCAATCAATGATAAAAAATTCTAATTTTACTCATTTTGTGACACATTCTTATTCTCTCCTAATTTCGATATGCTTATCTTAAATGACCTATAATTGGTTAACGAGCCTAGATAGATTATCTGGTGCATCATAAGTCCGTATTGCAACACATACATCTGCCCTCCGTCCTTTGTCATAATATACTCTTATTCTGTTCATTAACTGGTTCTAGATCAAACGATCGGATGCTCAAGTGCGAATACATCGGATGAATAGACGACACCACCATTATAACACATTTAATTCGTGGATTATTGTCATCACACTATTTATGTGTCTGAATCGACACATTATAATTTTCAATGACTCATTATAAACTAAGGTTACTTTGTGCAGTAAATTACTCTCTGAATTGTACAACATCTTCATATAACACTCTTTAGTAAAAATTCTGTGTTTTTTGTACACGATCATTGCTAAGATGATTCAGTAAAAATTCAAGGACACTTACCATGCTTGTGAAAATTATGTAATTTTAACTGAATAGGTAAATTACTGAGAAAATAAATAAGATTCCCATTAATTAATACGAAATTCAACTTGTTTACCATTTGATGTTAGGTCACAGGCTATATAGAGTCCACTTATAGGATGTTTGACTACAAGTGTAGTAAACAAAGGGGAATATAAACTTACTCAAGATAGCAAATAGATTAATCACTATAAAATAGGAACTAGTGTGTCTTTTTCAGATTTTTACATCGCAGAACTGTTACATGACTATTAAATTTAGTTCAAATTCTTTTGTGAAACATCTTACTCTATGGTTTGAACAGTTCACAACTGTTTTATCTTATATGATCATCAGCACAAAACATCCAAGTATAGTGTATTCGTCTATTGATAAAACGTTTTGAAGCTTTTCTATTTGATATTTTAAGCAACAAGTATAAATAGATAAATTTCGAGTTCAACCAGGTTTCAAAAAGTAATCAGTTATTGTACTCAGCACAACACATAGAAGTGATTTTGTGTTAATTATATTTATTTACATTTTAGAGACAGATATAGTATTAAAGACTCATTTTGCTTATCTTGAATATAGTTACAACCAGACTATGATTTGACAGTAATACAGACTGTACATGATGGCGATAATTGTAGGCCAAAAATAAATTTTACAACTTTAATTGTAGCAAACATCATCATGTACATAGTGTATCCTACGTATACTGACAGATATAAGTAGTATGTAGCAGCAAACAGAAGTGGAATGCCTAACGGTAAAACATTAAAATGAGGATAAGGGGAAGAGAAACAGAGAGATAATTGGAATAACAATCGAAATGAAAGAATGAATAAGTATGTACAGGACGACTGAAGAGACATGCAAAAAATGTATTTAATGTATAGTTATCCCCAGCTGATTTTGCATTTACCACATATATGTTCGAAAATAAGAAAGATTTTAATAAACAATTATTTTCAATATCTTCACCAATAGGCACTATAGTTATAAATTTATAATTATTTTATTATAGTGGGCAAATATGTTAATCAGGCAATGTCATACACTGAGTATATTCAATGTGTATCCGAGAAAGGATAAGAAAATTCGTTCTAAGGTGCCCAGTTGCAATCATTGTAATAAAAAAAGTCGTGTGGATAAACTATCTAGAGATGTTATGTTCAATTAATTAAGGCATTAATCACAGTAACCATATATTCATTAATTTAAAACAAAAGTGTGAAAATAATCATAATAAATAAATAATTTAATTAATTTTACCAGTATCTCCTAATTTAATTGCTTGTATAAGTGGTGTTGTAGAATCTTGTAATATATTTGGTAAATAACAGAATGGACTTAAACCCGATGTTGGATGACTAAGAATTGCTTGAACTGATTCAATAGCACTTACACTAACTGCAGTGTAAAGTGCTGTACGACCTTGATTATCAACAGTAGAGAAATCCGCTCCAACGTTTAAAAGATTGTAGATAGCTTTATCTTGATTAAATCTAAATGAAGAAATAAGTTTTTTTGGAAAAAAAGTTGATTAAAACAATTTAAAAGAGAGAAGTGAATGTCAGTAGGAATTTCTTTAAGAGACAAATCTACTTTTTCCCAGAATCTAATGCTCAATACACAGTGCCTCAGTTAATAGATCAGATTTCAAGAACTCAGACCAGTACATTATGGATTTGGTTTGAACAAACGAACTACGAGACAACGGAAAAGCGATCATCAATTTAGGATCGTCCTATTTTATCATTTTTGCGCTGATAACATGCACTCTATACTGATTATGTAAAATTGCGAAATGATCAACACATCGTATAGATAAGGTGACCGAAAGAATCTATTAAGTTAGCAGATGTCACTGAACTTAGGCAGAATGCATCTAATCGAGTGAATAATTGTCAATCACAACAATATTAACATACTGACATCTAGCTAGTAAGTATTGCATAGAAAAAACTAGCTTTCTAATAATCATTACCAACTGTCTAGTAAAAATTCCACAATATCATAGTTCTGTCTAAATGTAAAACTTCATTCTTGTAATTATTTACCAGTTATATCGCCCATTAAAATATAGTTTTTACTGAATAATACAAAAAGAAATGCAGTAGACTCGTACTTATTTTACAGTAGACTCTTCAAGATTATCCAAGTCATCACAACTATTTTAAGGTATGGAAATTAATTTAACTATTCCAAAAAAGTTAAATTATACACATAAATTATTTGAGACATGTAATCTATAACTTGTCAGTATTTGCTATCCTAAGAAATAAACATAACTGTGATAAGGTTTAACAAGTGTAACTTTTCTCAATATCCTCTGAAATACTGTACATTTTGATGATGAACTGATTAACTTTGCGATGAAATCAAGTTATTTCAAGATTGGTTTATACTAAAACGATATGCAGAAATAAATATGGATTACCCTTGAAGCTAACCAGAAAACTAAACAATATGCACTCTGATATCAAATCACTTAGCCCGAGTGATCACTTCAAAGTTTGAAAGTTCAATTAGCATTAAGGTCTATATAAACAATATGAAAATGGTTATCATCTTTTTCAGTCTTTACACTACTATTAAAACTGGTAAGATAAATAATAGTCTTAACTTCCTGGAAATCTCACGCTCAGTACGTAAAAGGTAATGTAACACTGAAGGGCTGAAGTTGAAGAGAAATTTCATGTAACGAATATTGCTATTATTTTTTCAAACTCAACGTTTGATTAGAAATATTCTCAATGGCATTTTTAAAGCAATGCTTAAAAAGGTGATAGTTATAGAAACCCGTCGCTTTGTTCAACTCTTCAACGTTCGAATACACTTCAAATTATCCGAAGATAGATGACCATATATACAGTGACTTTATTGATCTTGAAACACTTCTGGGTGTAAGTATAGTTGATGATAAGTTTAACCATAATAAAACAACCACCAAACAATAACCATGTGTTCATGATGTAGCTCTTTCATCTATCATCCCATAAGAACTGCCAAAGAAGCAAACAGTAAAGATAGAAAATAATACGATTTTTAACTTATCGGAAAAATTGCCAAAGTGCTCTTATTATTATTAGTAGTAGTAAAAAAAGTAGGCACTCTAATATTTTATATTTGAGATTTTATTCCCATCTCACACACATGGCTTGTCTATTCAGTGAGAACCTAGTGGGAACATTGCCTCAAAAATCTGATATTGGTTTGTGTATAATGTTAATAATTATTCAGTGTAAGGAAAAAACACAGATATTTTGATTGCATTCAGAAGAAAAACAACCCCAAGACACTTCTGGTTAGGCTAAACTTTCACCATCATCATCATCCTTATAATGATAAATCTGTCTATCACAAAATCTATCTTACGGTTTCGTTAAGATAACAAGATTTTTAACATAACATATGACTACTTGTTCAAAGTTAAGTAGTTCAACTACTTACACAAAATAAAAATGTTTGAATGAAAGTTTACCTTGCAGATATATGAAGTAATGTTTCACCGGTGTCTGGAATCCGAAGATTTAGTAGACGATGCAAATGGGTAGAATTGTATATCATTTGCCAAGAAATCATTGAATTCATAGAGCTATGCAGGATTGTTTGCATGGTGTTCGATTCATCATTTTGAGTAAGAAGATGGCAGACTATATTGAAATCAGAAATATTGCTCTCGGAATTTAAAGCTGGATGTTGTGATCTGGCGAATGTTGTACATAGCCGTTGTTGTTGCTTCTGTTGATATCGTTCATAACTATTCATCTCTAATAAATCCCCTGAGCCATAGTAATCAAGTATGGTCTTTTGTAGAATTTTCTGAAAACTATTCAATTCTGATTGTGTAATGGAATTTAAAAATTGACATAACTCTTGCATAGTTTGAAAATTGTTACTGTTATTATTAAAACTGTTGGAATTTTCACTTTGTTGACAATCAAAATCATTGAAGTTATTTGTTCTATTCATATTTATAGCAGTTGTTATTGTACTATTA